TCAAGTTTAGGAGGCTCTGTGAACTAGCATCTTTCAGACTTTGAAAATCCATGGTCACTTTCCTATCTCTCGCATCTTGAACTAGTGATGCCCAATAAATGTTTGATTCCAATGTTAAGACGTTACCCACAATCCACAAAGAGTTTTTCGCTCTTGTCAAGGCCACATTCATGCGCCTCTTATCCGCACCAAAACCAAGGTTCCTTTCCGAATTAGCTCTCACTGTCATCAGCAGCAGAACATCCACTTCCCTTCCTTGGAAAGCGTCCACAATGTTTACTTCAATATCCTTCGCTGCATGACCAAACTCAAAACACAACACCTTTGTAACTTCCCACGTTGTGATTTGTAAGGGGTTATGATTCCTATATATACTCTTGGACGAAAACCTAGAAGGGTAATTTTCTTTGAAAAGCCTTAATAGTGTGACAACATCGACAATCTCTTCTTCGTTCCACCATGAATCTCCAAGTTTCTCCTCTCGCCCAACACTAACATCAAAAAGCAATAAGGGTGCTAGAAATTCGTTCTTGTGAAATGCTGCAACTTTTTCCTCGCTAGTCACACCATATTTAAGCTCCTTGTCATAGAACTGCGAGGATGGAAACTCCGATATGCTAGGGTGCATCCAGTTTGTTCCTTGAGCATTAACATCGATAATCCCTCTTTCTGCAATCGTTTGTTGGATCTCTTTGGGAGAAAAAAACCAAATCATTGTTAGAGAAGTTGCAGTCATCATCATCATCTCCTTCGTTTCGTTTAAAATAAACTGAATAAAATTCTTCATTCATACTTTCCCATTTAACTGAAAAACCAAATTCCTCTCGTAACGATGTCGAAACCTCCTTTTTCAACTGAGTTTTAAACCCTTCAATAAACAGAGATGCTGCACAAGTCCAGGTCATGAAACCAATGCGCAAGTGAAAGCTTCTGATTCAAACTAAGATTCTGCATAAATTCTTAAAAAAACATATTGTTTCAATCAGATGGTTTGAATAAAGATAATGGATTCGTTGGTAAAGTTGAAAAAAAACTTGTGGTTTCTATTTAGGTACATTTCATTATTTGAATTTTTTTTGCACAATATGCTTCAAATTGACAAATGATGTTGATAATATGGAATCCTCGTATACTCTTAAAAATATTGTTAATTTA